TGTGTGTGTGTGTGTGTGTGTGTGTGTGTGTGTGTGTGTGTGTGTGTCAGGGGGTGGGGAGCATGGTATTTGTGTTCTCTGGTACATATTTTTGTTATTTAAGTGCCATCTGATTATTTTACATTTTTTTAAAAAGTTATTCAGGGATCCTCTCCCCTGGATTTGAATACAGAATTACCTTATCAAAGCACAATGAAAAGGAAAGTCAGAAAGAAGAAAAAGAAGGGAACTATTACAGCAAATGTTGCTGGGACAAAGTTTGAAATTGGTAGGTTTCCTTAGAATCAATCGTGGGATTCTCATAATTGCTGGAAAAACTGATTGTTAAAAGCAATGTAGAAATCCAGAGAGATAACTATCTTTTATGTAATGGATTTTTAAACGCCTTCTATAAAATTTGCAATATGTTAGAAGGATTCATGCGGTAGAGGATAATATCCTTACAAATATTTCAACTGATTTCTAAAATTTCAGTTTAAACATAAATATGATTAAACAGCTTAGCTGAAAAAAGGGACTTGGCATTCTATTTTTCTTTGAAGTTTAATTTTGTCAGCTCTCCAAGGTTTGAATTTCATAATAAAATAGGTTTATATATGACTGACCTGACAAATTTGAATTTATGAATGTAAGGAAAAAATGGATCTTTTCCAATATTCAAATATAACCTGAATGTTCCCAGCCTCATGGGTTTGTATATACATAAATACCCAAATTTAAGTAATGCATTGCATTACTTCCAAACGTAACTGCCAGGAGTTCCATTTATCTCACCAAGGTCTTCCCAGGTATCTTTGAGATGCTGCAGGCAGTGTCTTTCATATACTCAGTAACAGATGTGCTCCTGACATGCTCTTCTGAATTTGTCATTGTTTTCTGTTTGTGAGCCAGTTAAGGAAGTCTTCTAGTCTGTGTTGCCATTGCTCTTGCTCTCTACATGAGCTCTAGGTGGCACAGCAGCTGCTGACTCCTCAGGATGCCAAAGCTGCATGGTGGTCTGTGACAGATGAGACAGAATGTCCCTTTCCCCAACTCTTGTGATTGTACACTGTTACCTGGGACTGCACCACTCTGTTAAGCCTTAGGATTCTGTTGGAAGCCAAAAATTATCCTAAGTGTTCTGCTTATCTTTATTTCACACTTGAAATTGAATGGAAGAAAAATGCCAATATATTAATTGTAAGTTCTAGATCAGAGAGAAACACATGAATAGTTTGTACTAAAAAGGAAGCCTTCTTCTGAGCATAAACATTTCCAGTAGGATTAGAGGATTGGGAGCAGTGAAGTACCAAATCCAAATCTCTCCTGTGAATTTTGCTTTATTATTTCACGTTCTAAGTAAACACAGGTGAGTTGATTTTAAGTACTAAAAATAATTTGAACTAGGGAGGTGGAAAGTATGGGATAGGTCTGATGATCGGGATATTTTTACCTTTTTTTTTTGTACCTAGCCCAAGGTCACAAAAAGCTACAAAAAGTACATTTTCCTGAGTAGCGGTATTGTCTCAGCTGTGTATGTTTTCCTTGTACCATAAATAATCACTAAACCCTTTGGCAGTTTTGTGTACCTGTTAAATCTGAGAAGATTGAAAGGAAGGATTTTGGGTGCAACAGAAAAACAGTTCTCAGTTACTACTGAGTATAATTTGGCCCTAGATAAAACTGTTGTAACTAAAAATAAGGTTATGCTGTAACTAATAGATATTTTCCAAATGAAATACTGTGAACTAAAATTTATCTAGAAAAATGTTTCTGCATTGAATATATTTCAGAAGTATTTTAATTTTGCTTTAACTTAATGGTTTACTTGCAGTTCGTTTAGTAATAGATGAAATGGGATTTATGAAAACTCCAGATGAGGATGAAACAAGTAATCTTATATGGTGTGATTCTGCTGTTCAGCAGGAGAAAATTTCAGAGCTGCAAAATTATCAGGTAGGAAACTAATCATGACCAATTATTCATATGAGGAAAGTGTTATAGATTCCAGTATAATTTTTTTAGATAGATTCTTAATCTGTTGCTATATTAAATTCCAGTTCTAACTCACCTGAATAGCCTGTTTAGTTGCTATCCAGTTGTATTGAGTATCTGCATTAAGCCTGAATCTTTTTCAAACTTAACTGTTAACCTCTTTCTATCTTTAGGGAAGAATCAATAGAGGAAACCTCTTCCTAAGATGGTGCTTTACATTGCACTTAAAGATGTAGAATAGATTGCATAGGGAGACCAGGATGCAGAAATACCTTGTGATGTCAGCTATGTGTAATCTGGTTTCATTTATTTTTAGAACATAGTACAAACTTATAGTCAGAAGAAAATAGACATCAAACTAAAAAGCCAAATACGAGGAATTTTAGAGAATTGACAGTTTGTATAGACCTTCATTTATTAGTTTAGAAGGTAATATAAAATTGATAGTAGTGAACAAATAAGTCATTTTTACCAGTGCGTATTTCTGTGAATACAGGGAATCTAGAATAACAAAGTAATTGCGATATTGAATTACCACTGTTCAAATTAGAAAATTATAACTTTACTCTCTATGTAAATACTCTTTTGAGATTACTTTAAAATTTTGCAGTTTTATTTTCTTATTACCATACTTAATTCTACAAATTCACTGTAGGTCATTTAATGCTAAATCTTTTAGATTAATAATTGGAAGTTTATTAAAATATAAAACTCAAAGGATGGATATAATTGTATTATCATATACATGAATATCATTAATTCACTAAGAATATTAATATTTACCTTTTTATTTTCCAGAGGATCAACCATTTTCCAGGAATGGGGGAGATCTGTAGGAAGGATTTCTTAGCAAGAAATATGACCAAGTAATCTTTTTTTCTTGTAATGGAGAAGACCTGTTCAAAATTTATATTGTAAATACTGTAGTGCTATCTTTCACAAGGTTACATGATTTGAAATGATATTTAGATGAGAGTGATAGAATTTTAGAGCTATAAAAGTCTTAGAAGGTCTCTGGTTCTAGTCTTCCACTTTGCAGAGGAGGTAAATGAGGGTCAGAGAAATGAATATCTTGCACAAATTCAAGCAAACTGTTAATAGCAGAGGTGGATCAGAATCAGCCTCCAGAATCTCAGGCCTCTTTACTGCAACTTGCTGCCTTTTTAGTAAGAGTTTTTCATTTAAATATAAGAGGTTATCTGTATCTGTCATTTAAGAGATACTTGTTTATTTTCAGTTAAATTTTGCAAGAACTAATTTGTTGCATTATATGCCACGTGTGTGTGTGTGTGTGTGTGTGTGTGTGTGTGTGTGTTCATATTGGTTATTGAGCATTTAATATGCCCCAGGGATTGTACTAGGTACATGTATGAACACACTTATTCAAAGACACATGTATATGTGCTCACCCAGGAATATACATGCACAGATATTTATATGTGCAGTCAATATTTAGAGTAACAATCTACTTTCATGGGAAAGCTGTTAATAAGTACTTTATACAATTTATATTCCTGTTGGCTATGGTTTTTTGCCTTTTTTTTCGTTTAAGAAAGTTGAGTGATAAACGGAGAGAATTTTTTTTAAAAGAGGACTCTCTATTCACAGAGATTGAGTAAACTTCCTGACTCTAAAACATGGTAGTATAAAAGGTAATCAAAAAACCTTCCCTATGTGTGACCTAGAGACTCAAAATTATTTGTAAAGAAGCAATGTCAATGGCACTGGCCTGAGCAATTACCTACTCCCTACCCTCATCCCTGAGGCAGAGTTAATGACTCCTTCTACATGTTACCTTGCTTTACACGCCTTTAGTGTACCTATCACACTGTTTAATGTTAATAGCCTATCTATACAATCCTTGAGGGCAGAGATAATACTAATTTATCTTACTATCCCCAATGCCTAGCACATAGTGTGTACTCTAAAAAAATGTTTGATGTGCTAATATGTAAATTAGTACATATTAGGGCAAGGTTTTTTTTTTTTTTTTTAAACTGATGTATCCATGGTCCAGAATAGTGTCTAACACTTAGTAGGTGCCCAATAGACACTTGTTGAATGACTGAATCAATGAGGAAGTAAATGAAGGAGTGGAGAAAATTTAAACATTTGTGGCAAATATCGGTATCCCAGAGAAAGAAAATATATGCAAGTTTGAATAGAAATTATTTTTCCTTTTATATCTCATTTACAGAATGATCAAATCTCGGCCTCTGGATTATACATTTGTTCCTCGAACATGGATCTTCCCTGCTGAATATACTCAATTCCAAAATTATGTGAAAGAATTGAAGAAAAAACGGAAGCAGAAAACTTTTATAGTGAAACCAGCTAACGGTGCAATGGGTCATGGGTAGGATTGCTTTTATTTGGATTATATAAAAAAAGAAAATAATTGGAGGTGGGGAGAATAAATGTGCATAATTACTCATGGTTGAGTACCAATATGAAAAAATAGTGAAAGAGGTTTTTAACTATTGCATTTTTGGAACCAAATATTTATTGATCTTTCTTCTTTTAAACTCTCCCACAGGCTTCAGTAATTCAATTTAAAAATTAAATCAACAGGTTGTGAGGCTTTAATAGGGGATAACAAAATATAAGGGGAAAAAGGTATTTTCTGTTTTTTTCCAAAACATAAAACTCACATAATTTTAATAGGCTTGGAGAGTGAAATCAGTTGCTACAGTAGAGCTAAAACTAACTTGGAGAAATAAATGAAAATGGAGTTATTCTTTTCATAACTAGAAACCTTGAAGCAAAATATGTCTCTTCTTTGCCTTATAAATAAGTTTTTTCTTTATGTAGCCATGGTAATTGGATTAAAAATGAGGTAGAACACATTTTAAACTGAGGTTCCAAGAGCTAGACATGTTAACTGAGAATAGAATGTGCAACTAATAATCTTATTTCCTTTTGCTTACTTATGTTAGTTTTCTGCAATGTACTTTTTCAAAGAAAATGTGGCTAAGGCTGCTTTTAATAAATACCCTTGAGTCATTTTAATTTTTTAATTTAAAATGCTATAGGAGAAAAGATACTTGGAAATATAGCTACCAGGTAAATTATTGTTCAAAAATTTTTCTTTTAACTTTTAATCATAACTTCATAATCTAATCATACTTTATTTACAAATGTGGTTTGGTAGTTTTAAACTAATGAATAGCATTAATGGGAATTTTGTATCAATTGCTTAATGTTGAGTTGGCTCTATGTTAGCATTAAAGGAATGTTTTTGGTGATGAATAATTGATTTTCACATTTTTCTCAATTTTAATGTGAAAAATTTAATACCAAAATGTCTATATTTATATATTATACTTAATATTAAAACATAAATAAATAATCTTTCAATTTATTTTCATGGCAATATAAAAAAGTAGCTGGAAAAGCAGATAACTGAAAGGGCATTATGTGTTCCCAGGGTTTATCTCATGTAATGGAGCAGGACCTAGGTAAAGAACACCTCTCTCATCTATTGAATTATATCCATTTCCTTGCTAATCTTCTGTCTAGTTATTTTGTCCATTATTGAAAGTAGAGTATTGAAAAATCCAACTGTTATTATTGAAGTGTTTCTCCCTTCAATTCTACAGTTGTTTGCTTAATGTATTTTGGAGCTCTGTTATTAGGCACATAAATGTTTCTAATTGTTATAAATTCTTGAGGCATTGACTTTTTTTTATTATTACATAATGTGATTCTTTGTCTCTTGTAACAGTTTTGCCACTCCAGATTACTGTTTTATTGCAATATCTTTTTCATCCTTTCACTTTCAATCTATTTGAGTCTTTGCTTCTAAAGGGTATCTCTTGTGGACAGAATATTGGTGGACCACGTTTTAAAAAAATTCATTCTGCCAAGCTCTACCTTTTATTGAAGAGTTAATCTGTTTACATTTAATGTAATTACTGAAAAGGAAATATTTGGCTATTTTGCCACTTGATTTATGTATGTCTTGTAGCTTTTGTTCCTCAATTCCTCTATACTGTCCTCTTTTATATTAAATAGGTACTTTCTTCTGTACTATTTAAATTTCCTTGTCATTTCTTTTACTATATATTGTTGAGTTAAAAAAAAAAAGACTGCACTGGAATTACCATTATTATCTTAATTTATAACAATCCAGTTTATATTAATACCAACTTAGTTTCAATAGTGTATAAAAACTGTTTCTACATAGATTTACTCCCTTTATGTTGTTATTGTCGTAAATTATATCTCTACACCTTCTGTGACCATCAGCATAGATTTAAAACTATTGTTTTATGCAGTTAGCTTTAAAATCAGTAGGAAAAATGAGGAGTTAAAAATCAAAACTACACAAAAAGAGCCTTTTTTTTTTGAGATGGCGTTTCACTCTGTTGCCCAGGCTGGAGTGCAGTGGTGCCATCTTGGCTGACTGCAGCCTCCGCCTTCCGGATTCAAGTGGTTCTCCTGCCTCAGCCTCTCTAATAGCTGGGATTACAGGCATATGCCACCATGCCTGGCTAATTTTTGTAGTTTTAGTAGAGACGGGGTTTCGCTATGTTGTCCGGGCTGGTCTCGAATTCCTGACCTCTGGTGTTCCACCCACCCTGGCCTCCCAAAGTGCTGGCATTACAGGTGTGAGCCACTGCACCTGGCTGAGACTTTTATATTTACCTGGGTAGTAACCTTTCTGGTGTTCTTTGACAGTTTGATTATAATGTGTCTTGATATTGATCTCTTTGAGTTTATCCTACTTGGAGGTAATTGAGCTTCTTGGATGTATTGATTAATGTTTTTACCAAATTGGAATGTTTTCTGCCAGTATTCCTTCAAATATTCTTTTGGTTTTCTTTTCTCTGGTCTTCTCTCTTTCTGAGACTCCTATTATGTGTGTTGCTGTACTTGATGGTGTTTCACAGCTTTTGTAGGCTCTGTTCATTTTTCTTCTTTTTTCTTTCGGTTCCTCAGACTAGATGATGTCAATTGGCTTATCCTCAAGTTTTCTGATTCTTTTTATGCCTTGTCAGGTATACTATTTATCTCCTTTGGTGACTTTTTTTTAGCTCAGTTATTATACTTCTCAACTCCAAATTTGTTTGCTTCCTTTATTTTTCCCTAAATTTGTATCACTACTGATATTCCCTATTTAGTGAGACACTGTTCTCATAGTTTCTTTCAGTTCTTTGTACTGAAATGATGTTGGGCTTACTAAGGATAATCAACTATTTAAAATTTGTTGAAAGAGCTATGGAAAGTCAATGTCTGGGCTTTCTCAGCAACAGTTTCTGTTAATTGATAGTTTCCCTGTATATGGGCCATACTTTCATTTTCTTTGCATGCCTCATAATATTTTGTTGAAAACAACATTTTGAGTATTATAGCAATTCTAGAAATCAGACTCTCCTCCTCTACACAATTTTTTGTTGCATCTCATTGTAGTAGTTGTTTACTTGGTTTAGTGACCTTTCTAAAGTGATTTTTTAAAAGTCTGTATTCTTTGCTGGGCATGGCCACTGAAGCTCCTGTTCTGTTAGTTCAGTGGTCAGCTAACAATTGGACAGATATTTCTTTAAACAGAACAAAACAAACAACAAAAAAACTCTAAATCTTTGTAGATGGCTGAGTGTGTGATTGCTGGGACATGCCTTCAACAGGCAAACAAATAATTTACAGCGCTACCTTAGCCTTAACTTCCTGCTTGTGCAGAGTCTGATGGTTAGCCAGAGGGGACAGCTTAGGGCCTTCTCAGGTCTTTCTTGAGCATGCTTCTAACCTTGGGCATGCAACTGGTTGTCTAGATTCTCAGGAATATGTCAGAGCTTTTCAGAGTTCAAAGATTTTCATTCCTCAGCCCTTCCTCCCAGTCTTTTTAGTTAGTCTATTGTCTGCCCAACTGTTGCCCTAGACAGCCTAGACAATAGTGACTAATACATTTGCCTTTAAATGTTTCCAACAATTGTTTCTGAAAGTAGCTACCTCAGCACTGGTAAAGTTCCACATTAGGCAAGATAAAAGCAAGCCCTTTGAGGTCCTCCAGGAAGCCACCAGACAGGTCAAAGCAGCCAACTATAAGAATAGTCCATTCTACCCACTCCAGGATCTGTAATGGTATTAAAAATGAGGCTGTTCAAGGCCGCTGCTGAGCTGGGAGTGGATGATGGGACTAGATTAAGTTAAAATGTTACAAAGCTCTTTGACACAGATCCAGCTGTTTTTTTCTTAGCTAAGTATTCTGTTTGCTGCAAGCCTTTGCTTAGTTTCTGGGGTTATGAAAAGTTGATTATTATTATTTCTTTTGCTCTTCATTGCTTTTGTGGAGGGACAGATTTTGGAGTCCTTTACTCCACTATTTTCCTCTTGAGCATATCTATAATTTTTTAAACATCTTGCTCTATATGAGATCATTCTTTTAATTTTTTTCTTTAAACACAGGATTTCTTTGATAAGAAACGGTGACAAACTTCCATCTCAGGATCATTTGATTGTTCAAGAGTACATTGAAAAGCCTTTCTTAATGGAAGGTTACAAGTTTGACTTACGAATTTATATTCTGGTTACATCATGTGATCCACTAAAAATATTTCTCTACCATGATGGACTTGTGCGAATGGGTACAGAGAAGTACATTCCACCTAATGAGTCCAATTTGGTAAGTGATGCCATACAGAACTTATGTTTTCATTCATTTGTTCAATATATAATTTTTAAAGCATCCATTAGGCGTACAGATTGTATAAATGAAATTTCCTTCTCTCAGGTTTTTGTGGTATTGAATTGTGTGCATAAATAAGATTGCTTTTAACTTACAGACAGCTTTGTGAAAATTAAAAAATAAAGGTATCTGCTAACTGGAGGCTAATTGGAAAAAAAGTACCCTCTCTGGATGCTGTGAGCACAAGGCTGGATTTCAAAGCACACATCTGTGTGGAGTAGCCCTGTATAGAAATGACTATATTATAAATAATATTAATATGCAATGGAGAAGTACAGATAAAGTGTTTTGGAGCTGTGTTGGGTCAGTTTGTGTTCAGCTTCTCATGGAGGAGGTGGCATTTGAGCAGGCTTTGTATAACATGTAGGGTGTGAACAGGCGGAATGTGGGAGAAAGTAAAAAGCAAGTTATCAGAAAGCAGTTATTAATTTATGTTGCAATGAAAGAGAAGTAAGGCTGTCAATTTATATTGACCAAATGTGAAGTTGAGGTGAATTAGCAGTTTCAGTGTACATTTTAAAGCCTATTAAATGGAGCTCTTTGTAGATATTTGTCCATTAAGTTTTTTTGTGTGTAGCCACAACATATTTATGAAAGTGATAGCTACAATTTATCATGAAAACCATAACTGTAATTTGTAGTTTAAGAAAGTTAAATTATAATTTATATGTATACTTAAACTTTAGTTAACCTCTAAACTTATTTTTGGATGTAACTAACTATAGATAAAATTACAATTAATTGTTGCTTCCCAATTTGTCAAAGACCTGGTTATTGTTCTCCCCTAATGTTATGTATACAACTAGCTCCATCGAAGTGTGGTCATTTTTCAACATTAAATAATGGCTGATTGTAAATGGTACTATGTGTAAAGTTTATTCTCTGTAGGTTTATTGCCGAGTTAAAAACGAGGAAACTGAGGCCAGCACAAGAAAATTAGATGCCAATTTATTCAGCTCCCGGGCAAGGTTCTGTGGTCCAGGGGAGAGGGGCCAGGGAAGTCATGCTCAACTTCTCTCAGGAGTGGGGTTTTATAGGGAGTGAAGGCGTTTGATTGGATTTGGAGAAATAGGATGTGGATGGGGTGAGCTGCTATTGGTAGGTAGGTGGGATTTCTGGTGAGCGGGCTAAGTGCAGAGTGCAGAGGGGATTTCCAAGGGTGGGGTTAGGTGCCGAGTGCAGAGGGGATTTCCAAGGGTGGGGTTAGGTGCCGAGTGCAGAGGGGATTTCCAAGGGTGGGGTTATGTGCTGAGTGCAGAGGGGATTTCCAAGGGTGGGGTTAGGTGATGGGCATATTCTGATAATGCAATTTTCAAGCGGGAGGGAGGTGGGCATGTCCAAACTCCCAGCGAGGCAACCAGCCTTACACTATGTTCAATAAATTGAAAAATGTTGTAAACCTGGCCAAGGAAGAATAAGGAAACTGTCAAATTTTCATAGGAAAAGAAGTTAAAAGAAAGAAACATTACCTATGTAACAAACCTGCATGTTCTGCACATGTACCCCAGAACTTAAAGTATAATGATAATAATAATAATAAAGTAAAAAAAAAGAAAGTAATATTATTAAAGGTTATAAGGTTTGGATATAGCCAATCACCAAGTAATGCTTGAACTCTACTACATTCTGGGCATTGTGCTGGTTTTGGAAAAACAATGACCAGACAGATACAGTGCTTGACCTCACAGAAGCAACAGTCTAATGGGGAGGCAGAAAATAAAATAAGCAATTATAATATCTGGTGGTAAGTGTGATGGCCTAAGAAACTGAGAGCATAATGGCAGTGTGTAGCAGGGGCACATAGCTGTTGGAGATAAATTTTAGAGAGGGAATGTTTTATAAATTGAAATCTGAATAATGAAGAGTTATCCATGTTCAGGCATAGGGTGGTGTTGGATGGAGCACCAGGCAAAAGAGTGGCTCAGAGGTAAGACAGAGTATAGCATGTGTGGAGAAAGCAAACAAAATCAGTATGGCTGAAGTATAGACTAAGAAGGAGGGCCTGCCTGTTCAGGGATGAGGATGGTGAGTCCTAGAAGCTAGGTCTTCTAAGGTAAGGCTTTGTAGTCCTTTTCTAGGATTTTAGAATTTAACTTAGGCTGGAAGGATTGAAAGGTTTTACACAAATGAAAGAAGGAATGGCCCCCTGGTCTGGAATGTGAGAGGGGGGTGGAGATGGATGGGAATGATTAGAGTAAGAGAGACAAGAAGTTACATATATTTTGAATAATATGTGAAGTGGTATTCTAGTCTGACCACATATGGAAGGAAAAAGGACTTGAACTGAAATAGTAGCAGTGGGTCTGGACCAAGAATAAGAGCATAGATTTGAGATATATTTCAGATAACACAGATAACATTGATACAGTATGGTCACAGTGTGTGTAAAGTGAGACCAGTTATGTAAAAAATAAGTTTAGAAAAAAAGACTAGAGAAATTAAACCAAAGTGCTCATTTGTTATTTCTGGATGGCAGTTTGCTCAGATTTTTTTCCTTTTTCTTATTTCAAATTTTTTAAATAGTGAGCATTTATTTTATATTGAGCTGTATTATTTCTATAAGAATTAAATGTTCATAAACTACATATAAGGAGATTATAAGACAGAATTTCAAACATTGAAATATAATAAACGTTCATTTTTTTGCTACTGGTATAGTGGTTGGCCATTCCTTGAAAAATTTTGTGTACACCAATTTATTATATCAAGCCTACATGCTGAAAAACAGGATGGGCTATGGTTATATTATTTTCACTCCTTGCAGATTGCTATATGGTTCATAGCTGCTTTTGCTTCTGTTTCTTGCAAATGACTAACTGGCAGTGAACTGCTTAGATGTCTATTTTTGTCAAGGTAAATGTGAAGTTGTGGAATTTCCAATCCATTTACAAATATACTATTAAAGAAAAATGCAAAGTTCCCTTACTTAATTTTTCATTAGATTAGCTAGTGTTATTAGTATTATTAATTTTAATAAATTCTTGCCAAATAAAGACTTTCTTACAAAATTATTTTCCAAACTTCTTCTTTAAAAGTTAAAGAAAATTTATGTTTTGGAAACTAGGAAATGCTACAGCTTGATTAATTTTATATTTCTTTAAGCATTTAGAATTAGGCAAGCATATCCTGTTTCTTTTAAGTATCATTTAATTTAAAGCTTTTCCTGTTTTGTAAGGATAGAGACTGTTATTTATTTTGTTGTTTTTGTATCCACAGTGCCCAGAAGACATTGCTGTAGATAGTAGGTGTTCCTTAAACATTGTTTAATGAATAAAAAAATAAATTTTTAATTAGTAGTAGGCACATGGATTAATAAACAACATGTACCTCAAATGATCATTTCTGCCTTCTTGTTTCAAAGATTTCAATACCATAAACTTAAGGAACTGCAGTGAAAATCAAATATGACATGAATATAGTTGGCTATTAACAACTCAAAATAATAATTATGTGAATGAAGTATATTTTAATTGTGATACAACATTGCTATCTAAAGTAATCTTTAGGATCATGACGAGGGTAGGAATTAAAGATAGATTTTATGAATGCTTCTGCTAGCTTAATAAAAAGACTTTAGATGCATATTAATTGACAATTATGAGGAGTTTTAAACTTTGGATATTTTTTCAGGTTTACTTAAGGAAAATAGTATCAACAAATGTAAGATTATAAAGAGACGAAAATGTAGAGCTCCAATATGGAGCACAATACCATACTGGACACCTGCACAGTATTATGTGGTACATTCTGTCTGCTCACTCCAAGTGCACTCTGTCTGCTACTGAGCTAAAGGGACCTCCCAGTCAGTATGGGTGTGCCGAGGTTGTGTTTGGTGCTCCTGCCTCTTGACTTATGTTATTTGCATTTTTATTTTTATTTTTCTTTGAAAGGACATAGAATGTTCTCTCAGAAAATTCCTTTCCCAAAACAGATTTGGCTGAAAACTATGAGAGCTGAAAACATTGAAAACAGACAAATTAACAAGAACAAACTGAGATCATTTATCTTGCTTAGCAATATGTAGCTTCAGATTTTAATTACTCTCGATAGTTTTGTTAATTTGATACTTTTTAATGGTAAATATATTTTGAATAGTATTGTAAAGTAATCCTCTAGATGGTTACATTCTAAATCCTTTTAAGAGAAATGTGCCATTCCATTTAATTGGGATATTATCTAAATAATCACGAAATTGTTATCTCTATAGTTTAAACTTTAAGACTTTCTTTAGTCTTTGAGTGTGTTTTTTTCCTCTGAAACCTCACAGTTCTAGGATGCCATAGGTGGTAACAACTTTTGTTCTTACTTGTTACAGACCCAGTTATACATGCATCTGACAAACTACTCCGTGAACAAGCATAATGAGCATTTTGAACGGGATGAGACTGAGAACAAAGGCAGCAAACGTTCCATCAAATGGTTTACAGAATTCCTGCAAGCAAATCAACATGATGTTGCTAAGTTTTGGAGTGATATTTCAGTAAGATTATGCCATTCCACAATTATAACTGTCTTTCCTCAGCAGTAATCTGAAGCACCATCAGGCCATGAAAGTTCATTAAGCGTTGATTGAACTTGGTTTTCTCTAATTGAGATGACTAGAGAGAAAAATCAGATCATTCTACAGAGACACACTGCTTAACAACAGGGATGCATTCTGAGAAATGCATCCTTGGGTGATTTTGTCATTGTGCAGACATCACAGATTGTATTTACACAAATCTAAAATAGGAGTAGCCCACTACACACCTAGACTATGGTATAGCCTGTATGTGGTATAGCCTGTGGCTCCTAGTCTAAAAACGTACAAAACATTACTGTGCTAGGCTGGGCGCAGTGGCTCACTCCTGTAATCCCAGCACTTTGGGAGGCTGAGACAAGTGGATCATTTGAGGTCAGGAATTTGAGGCCAGCCTGGCCAACATGGTGAAACCACATCTCTACCAAAAATATAAAAAATTAGCAGAATGTGGTGGCGTGCTCCTGTAATCCCAGCTATTCGGGAGGCTGAGGCAGGAGAATTGCTTGAGATCGCACTACTGCACTCCAGCCTGGGTGACAGAGCAAGACTTGGCCTCAAAAAAAACAAAAACAAAAATTATTGCTGTACTGAATAGTGTAGGTGATTGTAAGACAATGGTAAAGACTGTATATCTAAACACAGATCAGGTACAGTAAAAGTACAGTATTATAATCTTATATGACCACTGTTGAATATGCTATTCACTGTTAACCAAAATGCTCTTTTGTGGCACATGACTCTGTTTATCCTTTTGTTGATTATTTTGTTTGTTGACATTTTTACCTTACTTGCTATATCACAGGCCGTATATCCAAAGGTCCTTAGGTGTCAGGCAAGTAAGAAGGAGTGAAGTGGTCTGGAGAGAAGAAACTAGGTTGTTCTGGAACTGTGATAATTTGAAAATCAGGAGAGGTCTGAAGGAGGTAGCCACCACTCAGCACCAGCCTGTTGGTGCCAATGATATTTTAGGCCCGGTGGGGCACATTCTTCTAACTTGTTGGTAAATTATGTGTAAATGATATAAATGACATAAATGATTTTAAATGTTGGCAGTGGACTCAAGAATTTAAAAAATGTTGGGACTCAAACAAAAGTGTTTGTCATCTGAATTTGGTCAGATAACCAACAATTTGTTAACTTTTGATTATAGCTTCCTGAGAGATGAAATGCATGTAAATGAGAAATTGGATCACAATAATGCTGCATTTGTTTATTGATGTAATTATTTTCTCAAGGCCAATTTTGTGGAAATTCCAAAAGCTATTCTAATGACAGTTTACCATCATAGTGGATCAGAAGCATCAAAATGGTGAAATTCAGTAATTTTGGACCATAGTTCATTGATGGAAGATCATACAATCTTCTGTCTGATGATAATTCAATGAATTGGCCTATTGCTCAGTGGGACCAAGAAAGTTTTATATATTCTCTGGCATTCTTTTCTTTTTCTGTACACATTTTTAACTGTCATATGGATTTGGCTTTTTGAGGACATCTTTGTGAAAAGGTAGAACCTGTTGGGCTTCTTTGGTGAGGCAGGTATGGAGTGAACCAGAGAGAATAATGAGGGTCATTAGCTTTACATATACTGGTTTTAAGTGCTGTTTTCCCCACACAATTGAATTAAGAGAATGTATACAAGCAAGACTAATACTACTGAGAGGATATGGAAATTAACTTTCTGTTAGGACCTTAAGTATAGTTTTTAGATATGACCCAAACATAGCCAATGTGGGCCTATTAAGCTCTGACACAGTTCATGGTCTTGTCTATAAGTGGGCAAATTTTGCCTCATTCTTGGCTATGTTAGAATGTATATTAATCATCTATAAATAATCAGTTAATAAACCTAGCATTTCAAGTACTTTTATTATAATTATTTTGTCAAACAACTGTCTCCATTTATGTAATTATTTGAAAATTGGCTGTCTTTATTAAGAATTGGTATACTTTATATAGCTACCTCTTTAAGATGAATCAGTGGGATAGTATAAAAAGAGAATGGCAGGAGGAGGTGACGAAGGCAATTATGCAGTAAATTTTTATTTTGATGTCTTAGTTTAGAAATTCCCTGAATTTAACTTATAACTTATTTTTAATGACCTCATTTTGGGGGGCAATTTCTCAAAAAGTAACTACCAATATGTAAAAAGCAGAATTCATTAGTACCCTTTGTGAAGAACAGAACCATGTACTTTTGTTCTGGTCAATAACAAATCAGTAGAAAATCAAGCCATGGAGTTTAAAAATGAGTATAATCGTTAAAAAAACTATCCTTACTGCTTTTTGTATACCTAAGGTGTAAATCTACAAATCACATTTCAAAGCAGTGATATTATGTTGAAAATTCTCAAAAACTGTAGTGGAATTTTATTTGTATTTGTTTATATCATTCCTTATTGTCACATCTACTGGAAATCTTGCCTTTATAATCTAAAAGCACGTTATTTTCTATGTAGCAAAAACAGATTTGTAATTCAGGGTCTGATTAATAATCAGTCTCCACCCCCTCCCTCAGCCTGTACTGTTTCACACAGATGCTTATCAAAGTTTTAACTTTTTCCTCCTCTCAAGTGGTTTCAGTAATATTGGCAAAGATTTACATAAAGTGGCTTTTTGTCTTTTATTTTATATGCTATGGTGCCGTCAAGAATTTGTTACCTTGAACAAAATTTTTTGAAAACAGCCTCTCATGGCACTTCTGATACTTATTCCCAAATATGAACTGGGTTGTGATTCTGGTAACAGTGAGGTTAGCATCTGTCTTCCCTTTTATCACTCATTTAACAAATATTGTTCCAACAGGTAGTAGAATATTTGAGACTAACCTGACATATGAGTGGAATTCTAGAGGAATAATAGAATAACAGTAACTATAATAGGACTCTGGGCACTATGCTAAGAGTTTTACATGGAATCTCATTTTGTTCTTACGTTAACTTTTTGCAGTTTATATTTAAACTGAGGAAAAAATGAGACTCACAATGTTTAAGCAACATGACTGAGGTTGCACAGCTAACAAGTTACAAAGCCAGGAATAAACACAGGAAATCTTACGTTAGAGCCAGGCTCTTAACTGTCTTTTTCTATTGCCTATACCTGTAGAGAGGGAGTTAAAATGACAATATCTTCTGAGCAAAAATGGATGAGACAGCTTTTCTTTTATAGCTTGTTCTGAAACTTCAGTAAAATAACTTTAAAAAAATTAGGATTAATAACTCACCCCAGTAGTATTATGTATTTTTTCTCAGAAAATATTGAGAGCCAATCTTTTAATTGGCAACACTCTTCTCAGGTAAAACTTAAACACTACAATATCATCACTGAATAAAGAAACTCAGCTCTCATAGATTTTGTCTTCCCAGCCCTTTCAGCCTTTATCTAAGGGGAGTTTCTATACTGGTGTTTGTGAAATAATTTACTCTCCTTGGAATGTTTCCTCCCTATCACCCTCATCTCTTCTGGATGGGGCTAACGTATGCTCCTCCCTTACTTGTTTTGACTTATAGAAACCGCATTTACCACCTTTATTTTACTTGTTTGCAAATGTTTTTAGATACCTACTAAATGCTAGCTACTATTGTAGGCACTGGGAATGGTGTCAGACAAGGAGACTTCTCTAATGTAGAAAGAAAATATCAACTGGTTATATGTTGTGTGTAGTGATGCTAAGGAATGAAGGGTGGCTGCTTTTAACTTGGGGTTTGGGAAGGCCTCTCTGAATGTCTAAGAGCCAGACTTGGGAATACAGGGGAAAGAGTGTTCCACAAGAGGGAACCGTGAATGCAAAGGATGTAAGGTAGGAAAAAGTGTCTTACTTGAGGATTCCAAAGCAAGCATGAGGGTAAGAGTGAAGAATGAAGTCAGAGCAGTAGCAGGGGCTAGATGCCACAGAGCTTTGTAAACTTGGCCAGGCTGCCAGTTTGTAGGCCCTGGTTATATTCACACATGTGAAATGAGACACAAAGGCATTTTCACCTCTTTTATCACAATCTTATAGGAATTGGTGGTAAAGACCCTGATTGTAGCAGAACCTCATGTCCTGCATGCATATCGAATGTGCAGACCTGGTCAACCTCCAGGAAGTGAAAGTGTCTGCTTTGAAGTCCTGGGATTTGATATTTTGTTGGATAGAAAACTAAAGCCATGGCTTCTGGAGGTAAGGCATTCTTTAAGAAAAAAAGAGAAGTTATTGTCCTTATGTATTGAAATAAATGTTTTAAAGATGTGTACTTAACACAATTGTCCCATCAACTGACCAGCATGAAGCCTGAATGGAATAACTGGAAAAAAGAGGATAAAAATTCAGGGAATAGAACAGTTCCAAGAATGAATCAAAGTGTTTGATATTACTAATTTTCTTAAATTAGTATCAAGTGAATTTCTAGGACAGATATTTGGGATTCAAATGTGGAGGTGCTTTTACTGATTTGTTGCTTACTTGCTGTACTATTTCTCAGACTCCTGGCTTGTACCAGGTCATGAGTTCTGGGTAGTGTCTCTCCTCTCTGTGGGTGCCCAGGCTTCAGGATCTTGCCTTCAGTGTATCTCTCCTTCAAACTCTCCAAGAGACTCCAGTTGCTTCATTAATCAGTGTTCAGTATCCAATACCCCGGGTGGTAAATTTCTCCTTTAAGGCCATGGTATGTACTTGGGGCTCCCCTCAGAGAGACTGTCAACTGTATGTCTTCAGGTTTGCTGCCAGTCCTTGGTAGGGTGAGAGTTACTATTTTTCTTTGATGATAAAAGGTCATATAACACATGGAATAGTAAAAAGGAGAAAGTAAAAATTATCTCTGTTGACAATTTTAATATATTTTCCTGCTAGTTATATTTCTATTTACATTATCCAGAAGAAACCTTAGAAGTCACTTGATCCAGAAGACTTCATCCAGTAGTTCCCTTTAAGCTCCTTGATCTGGGGTTATGCACCTTCTTGTAGCCGCTGAAATACCATGTTTTGGAAAATCCATCAGGAACATGTTGCTATAGAGGATGTAATCAATCACTATCTTTCATTTTAAATCACTTTTCTCTCTTTTTGTTAGTGATTTAGAAGTTTCATGTGTAATATCAGGGTTTGCATAAGCAGATTGAATGAGTGATAAATGAGATGAAGATACTAAAAATACATTTCAACGAAATGACACTTTTCTAATATGAGGGCCAAAGATTGTGTGTGTGTTTGTGTGTGTGTGTGTGCGCACCTGTGTGTGGTCACATCTACTTTAAGCAATAACATGTATTGTGTCTCCAAGGAAATAAAGTTCTCTCTGTTGGATATTCAGATTTTGCTCCAGCCTGGGTCTGGTTTGCTTCCTCCTTTCCTTGGATATAAAAGCATTTGACTATGCACTATGGACCTGTCATCTTGCTAAGGCCTGAAATTTTATTCTTTAGGTTTCTTACTTTTTCTGCAGCAGTCCTTTCCTGTCCTTAGCTATATTTTCTTCTGCCCCTGTTACTTGTCTTTTGTCATTGATGCAGTAGGGAAAAAGTGAAGGCATATGCATAAAGGAGGATAGCAGGAAATAATGACTTTATAGATATCTTAGTTACCTTTTTTTTTTTTTTGAGACGGAGTCTCACTCTGTCACCCAGGCTGGAGTGCAGTGGTGCAATCTTGGCTCACTGCAACCTCCGCCTCCTGGGTTCAAAGTTTCTCTTGCCTCAGCCCCCTGAGTAGCTGGAATTACAGCTGCGCACCACCACGCCTGGCTAATTTTTCTATTTTTAATAGAGATGGGGTTTCACCATATTGGCCAGGCTGGTTTAGAACTCCTGACTTCAGGTGATCTGCCTGCCTTGGCCTCCCAAACTGCTGGGATTATAGGCATGAGCCACGGCGCCCAGCCCTAAAATCCTACAGCACCCGGTTTTTCCAGGTGGTCTCTCATCCAAGTCCCAGTCAGGCCTGACCCTGCTTAGCTTCACAAGATCAGGAGCATTCAGTGGGGTAGGGCTGTAGACACCAGTGGTTACCTTTTTTTTTTTTAAACAAAACAAAACAAAACAAAACACATTTGCTTCTTGGAACTTTCTATTAGCTTGCTAAATTAGAATGGACTGAATGATTGAATTCTGGATCTTGTTTTAAAATATTCAAAATAACCCTTGTTTGCGTGAATGTTTCTTCATTCTTTCTTTCATTGTTTCTAGATCAATCAGAACCATTAAAACACTACACAATAACCAAGAGCTGTGGATAATGAACATTTGTTATATTAAAACAGTTGAAAGAGTCTTACTGAGTCTTACTTCAATCTTGTCTTGTATTTTACTCCCTGCTGAAATTTTAGTGAGTCTAACAGACATTGTTAAAAACCTTTTGGCGCCATCAAGTGGAATAACGTAGAAGGTGCTTCTGAGTATGTGATTTTAGTTCACCAGAATAATTTCAGGGACTGATTGCTAGTGGCAGAATGGCACAAATTTTCATACGGAGAAAACATATTTTAGGAAAAACACTGAAATTGCAAGGAGTATGAATATACCACCAATAGTTTAAGTACCCTTAAATTAAACAAGAACCTACTAAGTCATTGTGTAAGGTGGTGGGGATAGAAGACAGAATACTTGCCCTGGTGTAGCTGTTCTTCAGATGTGCATTTTATGATAATAGTTATAAGAAGTAGTAGGTAAAAGGGAAATGGCACAAACAATAGCATGATTAATCTCTTTGTGTACCTGTGTGTATTGGAGAGTTAAAAAAAAAATCTTTGCAGAAGACACATCTGAACAAAGTTTGTAGGGCTGCAGAAGGGTGGGATAATGGCTCGGGGCTGAGAGCGATAGAGCAGGGGTGGGGAAAGGCTCTGGAGCAGAGGGATCAGCACTAATTTAGGAGCACAGAAGTATGGGTGCTTTAATTTGTGGACAAAGTGATTGTTTTGATAAAACTATTTTTAGGACAATTGATAATAGTGTTTACTAATTTAATATATTTTATAATAATTTTCATTTTTTAATGCATTTACAAGCTGTTGAATTTTGAGACATTAACATCGACTATGTTTCGTCTGTTTTAGAATTGGGATAGGAAATGAGAACCAAATAAATCATCACATTAGAGAGGAGAATGTGGAACACTAATTTTTAGTTTCTTCTGTCAGCCATTTGTTGTTCTTCTTTTATATTTTTCTTTACCTTTCTCATGAAACTTAAAAAAAAAAAAACAAGAACATCCCTGAATAAAAACTTAAATTGAAAAAGTTTTCCTGCCTTTCCACATATTATTAATAGTTTATCTTGTGTGGGTATACCTTTCACAGACCAGTTTCTCTTACATTATAGTACAGGGAAGAATTTGAAATAGGTAAGGAGAGAGAGACAGATCTGAGATGGCTTTATACCAAGACCTCAGTACCATCCTGGAGGAGGGATATGCCTGGCACAAGAAATTTGGAATGGAAACTCTGAGGAATTCTACAAAGAGAGATAACATTTCAGTGTACCACTTACTCATCAGTTCTTCAATGTCTGGTTTATTTTATAACCATGTCACATATAGTGGCAACATTGTCATTAATTGTATTATAAACTCCAGAGATTTGAATCAGTATGGTTGACACTTTTTTTTCTATAAAATATATGCTTTACCCTTTCTCTGCACTTGTAAAGGGAAATGCTTAGAGCTTTCATAATAGATAAATACCCTTTCTCAAATTGACCTAGAATAAATGGATGTTATTGCAATTTTCAAACTATTTCCTTTTCCTTGAGACTATATCACAAAGACAGGAATTTTATCTACCACTTTCTGAATCAGAAATCAACAAAGGAATCAAAATACAACATGGCCTATCTCTGTAAAGGAGTACCATACTTTTATCAAAATGATGGCATGATGAAAGATTTTCATGACACATCATTAAGAGAAAAGCTTGGATTATAAACTAAAGTATGGTTAGTATTGACATGTATTTGGAAGGTGAAATGAATATTTTAAATATGTATGCATAGAAAATATCTGGAATAATATCTACCAAGTGGTTAACAAGACACTGAGTATTAAGTAGTGGGATTACAGATAATCTTTTGTTATTTGTTTTTCTTCTTTATACTAATTTTTCTGCTGTGAACCTGTTACACATTTCTAATTAAAGATGTTGTATGCCTGGGTAATTTTTTAGTATAATGTAATATTTCTTCAGGTGCCAGTTGTAGAATGCATACTTTCAATTGTTTCGTCTCTTGTGGTGATGGATGTGTATAACTGTGACTAGTAGCATACATACTTATATATATATATATATTTTTTTTTTGAGATAGCCTAAGGGATTAGTTGATGGTCAAGCTAAGCTGTTGTGTTGAACTCAGCAGTGTTCTAACCAACTGTTTTAATTGATTAAGAAATTTTCCTAAACATCTGGTAATCCAGTTATATTTTTATAATAAGGACGACAGTAATAAAATTCAACAAAGACAGAAACAAAAACTCTAGCTCTTTTCTTTTTCATCTTAATGAATTCCTGAAGATCTGAAGCAGTGAAAAAGGGGCACTGATAGTTTCCATATTTTAAACATATAGGTGTATATAATTATTACTGTGTTGGTAACATGAATATCACTATTTCCTTTTTTGTTAGGATAAATCATTTTTAACTTTCCTAAACTTAAACCAACCATGCATGGAGTAATGGAGAGAGTGGAATGAAGGGAGAGGCTAGATTATACTGATGGTAGAGCTCCTGAATTAATGCAGCAGCAAGAAGGAGATGGTGCCAACAGTCAATCCGTTGTAATCTGTTGACCTGTGGTGATGTGGAATGGAGATGTTGCAATAATAACTGGGCCATCTTCCATGTAAAGCTTTGAGTTTATTGTAGAGTTGTTCTACTGGCTAGAGATCCCACATTAAATTAACAAATATGTATTGAATATTTATTCACCTTCCAATATTGTTTTCTTTGTAAATTTCAGATTAACCGAGCCCCAAGCTTTGGAACTGATCAGAAAATAGACTATGATGTAAAAAGGGGAGTGCTGCTAAATGCATTGAAGCTACTAAACATAAGGTAAGGTAAAGTATTTTCTCCCTCTTTTGGACATTTTAATCTGCATTTGACATAGATTAATCATTTGTACATTAAATTGGCTTTTCAGAATAGTACTTTTTATTTTTATATTTTGTAATTTTCATTTCTTGATTCTATTTTGTATTTTTCATTTCTTGATTCCATCCATTTTGTGTTTTTCATTTCTTGATTCCATCCATTCTTTAAACTCATGTAGTTAAAAAAAAATTTTTCCCCCTCCTCCTGTATATTGCTTTTCCTGCTTCCCAGGCAACATTCTGTACCTGCAGTAAATGAGGTTAAATTGCAATGTAAGTATAATTATTTATTACAGAGTACATTATTAAATTGGTAAATACTTTAGGAGACCCACTGGATTATCTTCCTCATCTTATAAGAAGAAACTAAAGCACAGAGAGTTCATTCAGGAAATTAAAAAAAAAAAAAAAAAAAAAAACCCAAACATGGATTTCCTAACTTTCTTTCCAGGGGTCTTCCCATTACATCATGCTGCCTCTGTAAACAAAAAAAGAGAGGCAGTTGTTCAGTGAGAGGTAACTTTTCCATTTAGGGAGGCAAGTAAAATTTGAGAGAAGACTTGGCTGGTGTGGATATAGGGCTGATTGCAATGTACATGATCATGGGATTCAAGTATTTGAAATGCTGTTATGTGGGAAAAGCTTTTGGATCATTACACAATGATTTTTTTAGACGTTTAACTGAAACATTTGATGAAAGAGCTAATTATCTGTCATTATAAGTGTTCAGAATGAGCTTAGAGTATTGGATTAAAGGGCCTCTGAGGTGATTTAAGCTCAGTGATTTTATGATTTCTGTTTTTCTAATTGTCATTCAAGAATTCTAGCACAGTTAGGGTATGCTTTCAAGCAATTTTTAAATCTAAGATGTTTCCAAGCACTTAGTAGGTATCTGATTAAGATGGGCAATTTTAAAATTTAAGATGTTTCCAAGCATTTAGTAGGTATCTGATTAAGATTATGTGGGCAGCATCACTAAAAAAAAGAGATGGACATAGAAACCTGTTCAGAAACTTTCATGTGGTCTTTTTTGCCTGATGAAAGATGAACTTGTCTAAATTCGACTTATATTTCAATTATTCTAAAAGAAATGAGTAGAAAAGGAGATGTAGAATGAGAATTTTGTTTTTAGTTTATCCAAGTATGTTAAGTATTTTGGATTAGCAATATGCCTATACATTTTTTTTTGCATGAAAGTTTACTATTACTGTTTAAATAAGCCTGTGTTTAGTGGCTTTTTTTTTTTTTTGCATATATTTTGACTTTGCCATTGATGGTACCAATTCAGGACATTATCTGTGGGTGTTTTTGGTATTTTTAAAAGTGAGGTAAGGTGTTTCTAAAAATGAGGTGTATATAGTTTCAGCAGTCAGAAATTTCTAGACCTAAAACTAGGGGAAAGTTGGAATTCATATTATTTATCTTTCTTAGTGTTGTTCCACAGAGAACTTAGCACAGTTCTTAACATTTGGAGCATATGCTAATGAGGCTTATGTTTCAGAAGTCCCTTCTCTCTCCAGCTGGGTGGAGAGCTCCATGGGTGCATGTGTTAGACTTGAGTTTCACTGAGCATGTCATAGTAACTTAGGCAGGAACTAGAAACACTAGGAAAATTCTTGTTTATTTATTAAAGAAGATTAATTTTCATATGGAGTGTTTTAATTTTGGACAGGAAGAATTATTCTGTGAATCCAGAAATCCCCTATTTACATTAATTTTAATCAGACTATTGGGAATGATCTTCTTTTCATTATGTTATCTTTCTGCTCAAGAACCTAAATAGAGTTCTGTTTACCAACATGTAGCCTAAGTTTCTAACATAACTTAACCTTAGCTGTTCTGTCTTATTTCCTGTTTCTCTCCAACCCAGATTGTTTTAGTTAGGCTGATTGTCTCTATTTTTCCCACATAGCTTGCCCATTCTTACTGATGATTTATTCTATTCTCTAGTCTGAATGCCTTTCCTTATTGCTATGACTCAAATCCCATCTTTTACTATGAAGTCTTCCTTTTGACCAAAATTAATCTTCCCTTTCTTGGAGCTCTAGAAGGGCTTTTTGCCTGCGTAACATATGGCTTTTCACTTTGTTTACTCTCTTATCCTCTGTGCTGTTTTACCTGGGCACAGCTGGTTTTTCTTTTCAATTAGATTTAAGCTCCTTGAAATTGAAGAGTACATACTTTTATATTCTTCACAGTGCTCAGTGGAGTGCTTTGTTTATAGTATGACCTCATATATAGCAGTTCATTTCGTAAGCATGTGCTTTTAGTTGCAAGGAAATTTAGAAGAATATAAATTGCTCAGGATATTCCATCACAACTGCTGTGAAAACAGAACCTTGGATGGAGGGGGTCAAAATTGATCCTTTTTTTTACTTGGAGGGCAGAATGCAATTTGAATTCAGATTCGAATAATTTTTTAAAACATTAGTTTTGGGTTCTTCAGAGACCAGAAAATATGAAAAGGGTTATATGTAGAACAAGTAAAAGTTCCTTTTTCTATAATAAAAGGAAAATTCTGTGATGGTGTTACTGGGTTAATAAGAAGAATCTTTTCCTTCATAAGTATTCTATTACAATCATCAAAATAGAACCTAGAAAAGATATTCATAATCCCATTGGTCCTTGGGTCTGAAATACTTGTTAATTAGATTAAACTAAATTAAATTAAGTTGAGTTGCCTGTCTGTCCCTTATTTAGAACTCATTCATGGGCTACAGGCTTGCAGCATTTAATGCCATCTTGCCATTGAACATTTACCCTCACTGGCCTTCTGTGACACTACGTGTCTGAGTTTTCTTAACTTTGAGCATCCTTAGTCTTCGCTTATGATTTCACTTACTTTCTGCTCCCTACCTGTCGTTTTCTCACTATGTTTTTGCCTCAGCCCTCTTTTCTCCTGTATCAATCCTATTACTTTTTGTGGTATTTTTGAGTCTGACATGTATGTAGCAATATGGATTGGGGTGCCTCTCACTAGCTCTGACGCATTCTGGATCTCTAGTCAAGCATTTGCAGCTCTCTGCTGACCATGTACCATGGATGCCCTGCTCTAATAGGTATTCAATAAACATATAATGAGTGACTGAGCAAGTAAATAAGTAAATGAATGAATGGATAGTGTTCTGATAATACTTAAATTTAATATTGCCAAAGTTGAATTATTTTCTCCTTCGATCCATCATGTTCTTCTTGATGGGTTTGTCTTTTTTTTCTTTGCTAACAATATCAAATACTTCCCACCCACAAAGGTTAAACCTAATCATTCATATAGTGGATTTTTTTTTTTTTTTGAGACAGAGTCTCTGTCACCCAGGCTGGAGTGCGGTGGTACAATCTCAGCTCACTGCAACCTCTGCCTACTGAGTTCTCCTGTCTCAACCTCCTGAGTAGCTGGGATTACAGGTACCTGCCACCACTCCGAGCTAATTTTTGTATTTTTAGTAGAGACGTGGTTTCCCCATGTTGGCCAGGGTGGCCAGGTTGGTCTTGAACTCCTGGCCTCAGGTGATCTGCCTGCCTTGGCCTCCCCAAGTGCTGAGATTACAGGCATGATCTGTGCTTGGCCTACTGGACATTTTTAAAGAGCTTATATAATTTGCTAGAAGTTGGAGATACAAAAATGAATAAAATTACCCACCTTAAGTAGCTCATTTGTTAAAAGAGAAATATATATGCTCATAGACAAGTACAATACAATAATAATTACCCAGTTTGCTTTGCTAGTTAATGGTAGAATGATTCACATGAATGTCCAGGCTAGGAAGCTGGGAGTTATACTTAACTTTCTTTTGAATCTATTCAATCTTGTCAAATTTCTGACTATCACTTTATTTCTCCGTCTACTCTCCAATGTTAAAAACTTCTTATCTTTCTCTTGGGCTATTTTATTGGCTTCCTTCCTGTTTCCAGCACTAACCTGCATCCCATTTTGCAGCTTCCATTCTGTTGTTCTGCAAATCATCCAACACCATTTATTCAGAGTCTACTACCATTGCAATAGGTACTGGGAATCCAGTATCTCCTGTGATTTCTAGGCTTCTGGGTTAGGTGACTTGTCTAATGATGTGCCATTCATTGAGATGAAGATTATAGGTGAGAAAGAGGCTTAGAGAAATAATGGGGGAAGGTAGAAAGAAAAAGAAAGATGATTCAGTTTTAAACATGCTAATTTTGAGATGCTTTGAAACAATGTTAAATGGAAAATTTGATATACAGTGCCCCAGGAGATAGAGATATCTATTTGACTGACATTCATAAATAGATTGCCCTTGAATCTAAAGGATGAGATCACACAGTTGGACTATATGTTTTGAGAAGAAGGACAGGGACAGAACCCTGAGGGATGCCAGTATCAGAATAGAGATTTATAAGCTCTGATATTCTGACCAGATTTTTGCACATTGTCAGATAAAGTTTAAACTCTTTGAGTTATGTGCAAGGCATTTTTTGATCTTTTGATTATATACAAGGCACTTTTTGAGCTGGCCCTTGCGTCTCTCTCCAACCTGATCATTTCTTATTCTTTTTCCTTTGCCATGGAAATGACTTTTCTAAGAACTCTTTTGTGGTACAGTTTCAAATTTCTGTACCTTTGCACTTGTTCTCATTTAATGTTTGTTCACTTTTGTCCTTTTGGTGATTGCCAACTGATTGTTAAAAATTGTGGTAAAATATATTTAACATAAAATTTACCATTTTAACTATTTTCTTCTTCTTTTTTTCTTTTTCTCTGTCTCTCTTTTTTTTTTTTTACTGTACTTTAGATTCTGGGGTACATGTACAGATCATGCAAGATTGTTGCATAGGTACATTCATGGCAAGATAGTTTGCTGCCTCCATCCCCCCATCACCTATACCTGACATTTCTCCCATGTTATTCCTCCCCACCCTCCCTCCCACTGTCCCTCCCCTACACCCCCCGGCAACGGACCCCAGTGTGTGATGCTCCCCTCCCTGTGT